ATCGGAAGACAGGGCGGTACCGGCAGGACAAAGAGCCGAGGACCACGCGGGACCAGGGGACGGTGTGGTGCCGGCAGGGCGAAGTACAGAGACCCCTGTGAGACCAAGGGAAAGACGTAATGTAGACGGGCCGAAGTGCCAAGGACCGCGTGGGCCTAGATAAAATGGCGGCACCCGCGGAACCACTAGCAGGACGAGTATCGACGGGATAAAGTGTCGGGAGCCGCTGACGGGCACTGAAGACCAGAGCCGTCGGCAGAATAAAGGGCGACCGACCCAAGGGGAGTACACGAGGGCGGGACGACGCCGGAAAAAAGGGAAGAGACTAGGGATAATAAGAAAAACACCCGCGGNCCGTCGGCGGAATAAAGGGCGACCGACCCAAGGGGAGTACACGAGGGCGGGACGACGCCGGAAAAAAGGGAAGAGACTAGGGATAATAAGAAAAAGAGGAGAAGTCGGGTGCTGACGAAAATTGACGACAGAACGAGGAGGGACGGGCGTGAGACGGGAAAGACGGAGGGCACCTGGAGCGACCCAGGGGGATCCTGGATCAGATGCAACGACAACAAAAATAAAATAACTTGACACCGGGTGGACGGGACCGTCCGGGCCAGGGAGTCCGGATGAAAGCACTAAGTACCGCCGCGGCAAGCGCCGGCGGGAGGTGCTGAGGGGAAGAAAAGAGGGAATAGCAGTGGTAAGAGGGGCCGGCCAGCAGTCCGAGTATCCCGGATCAGCCAGGCCAAGAAAAATGAAGTTCCAAGGGCTCCGCGTGGAAAGAAGGCTGGCCGGAGAAAATTGGAGCAAGGGGGTCTCAAAATTGGAAGCAGCGGCAGCAAAAAGGAGCCCCCTTTGGCCTTGGGGTTGCCACTACTGCAGCCCAAGGTGCAACGGCCATATGCCGGCTGCAAATCAGGCCTTGGGAAAGGTCCAACAGCTAGAAAAAGGAGAAATAGTTGTTGGACACCTGTCCCAACAGTAAATGAGAAAAGAAAGGAGAAAAAGGGGGGAAAATGAGACAGAGGAGGAGGAAGGAGTGGAGGAAAAGGTGCCCGTCAGGTTGGGACTGCAGCGGTAGGGACTGGTAGGTCTCAATGATGACCTCATCCCTCCTAGATCCTAGGAGGGCAGTTCGGATTGCAGAGATAAGGTCCTTGGGGCATTATCTATGCAATATCTGAATTTAAGCAACAAAAATAAAGAAAAATGTTGATGTGAGTTGGCCGGCTCATTTTTGGGCCTTAGATCTGAGATCTGATCTTGCGGAGGAGGAGATCTAGCCGTTTTTTGTGGGCTGACACAAAACGGCGAGCTCCGAAATGAGTTGGCAGCAAAATGGAGGGAAAACGAAGAGAGGAACAAGACAAAACTGCGAATTTGGCCCAAGGTTTGGGCCAGGTACATCAAAAAAATTGAAAATTGGAGCAAAACACTCAAATTTGGAGCAAGGGGGGGGCTTGGAGTAACTCGGAATGATGAGGACCATAGATCTCGGCCAAATCCAAGGCTGAGATCTGTGCCGCCACTTGGAAAAATGCAACGGCCTACCCAAAGGAGGCCTAGACCGAGAAAAAGGCGAAAAATGGGCCTTGAGGCCCTCAATTTTCTGTAAAGGCTGCATTTTGGGAAAGGGTACCCCAAAAGGCAGCACTTTTTGAGGTAAAAAGAGGCCAGGGTAGGCCAAGGGGTAGTCCGAGAGGGTACCAGCCTCTCGGACTGCATGTATCTGGCCAAAATGAGGCCCATGTCCCCGTGGGGAGGCCAAAACCGAAAATTTGGCCTTTGGGGTACCTCGCTCCACCTAGAGGCACTTGGAGGGGCCTAGAGGTTGGGCGGTGCACCTGTTCCAGCCTATATAAGTTGGAGGTGTAGGCCGCAACTCTCATTTGAGCATGAGAGGTGCCCATGCTGCCCAAATGAGTCAATGAAAGAGTCCCGAGTGGGAGAGAAGCAAGGGAGTGAGGGTCGGAGCTAGCTTGTAGCCTGGCTATGGTGGTAAGGCTGAGAAAGGTGACCTAGAGTCTAGGAGGGAGCAAGGAGAGTGGTCCGCCATAGCCCTCAGGCTGTGAAGTAGGAGGAGAGGCTGAAAGGGGTCCGCATAGCCCTTCTAGAGGGAAGGACTCCACAGCCTTAGAAGTAGGAACCTGCCATAGCTAAAGGAGAGGTGTGAGGGAAGGAGGAGAGAGCTTGGGAGAGAGGAAAAGCCATACCCAGGAGGCTAGAACCAAGCATTAGGACTCCCCTGCCTCGAGACCAGCAAGAGGTGAGTGAAAGAGGAGGGAGGCCTTTTTTTTTTTTTTCTTCTTCTTCTTCTTCTTCTTCTTTTCCTTCTTCCTCTTCTTCTTCTTCTTCTTCTTCTTCCTCTCCTTCTTCCTTTTCTTTTTCTCCCCCTTCTCCCCCTCCTCCTCTTGTCAAAACTGCGACTTTCACTGATTTGGGTGCTTGGGTAAGTTGCGATTCACCTTGTGATAGCTCGGTGATGTTTCCCCTTCATAGATTGCTTCAAATCTTGAGTTTTCACTGATTTGGGTGCCTGGGTAAGTTGCGATTCACCTTGTGATAGTTCGG